GCCCCAACTTTGAGCTCACAGAAACATGTATTGTGTGGAATCAAGGTTTAAGGGATCTGGGGCTATGCAAGATGTGCTTTGTTAACAAAATGTCTACAGGCAGTATGCTTGGTAAAAGTCATCTCCATTCTCCATTCTCAATAAACCAGGGGCACAATGCACTGCGGGAAGCCACAGGGACCTCTGCCCTGGAAAGCCAGGTATTGTCCAAGGTTTCTCCCCATGTGATAGCCTGCGATAAGGCCTTGTGGGATGGGAAAGACCTGACCGGCCCCCAGTCTGACATCCGTGAAGGGTCTGTGCTGAGGAGGATTAGTAAAAGAGGAAGGCCTCTTGCAGTTGAGATAAGAGTAAGGCCTCTGTCTTCTGCCTGCTCCTGGGAATGGAATGTCTCGGTATAAAACCCGATTGTACATTTGTTCAGTTCTGAGATAGGAGAAAAACTGCCTTGTGGCAGGAAGCGAGACATGTTGGCAGCAATGCTGCTTTGTTACTCTTTACTCCACTGAGATGTTTGGGTGGAGAAAAGCACAAATCTGGCCTACGAGCACATCTAGGCATAGTTCCTTCCCTTGAACTTATTTGTGACACAGATTCCTTTGCTCACATGTTTTCTTGCTGACCTTCTCCCCACTATCACCCTGCTCTCCTGCTGCATTTCCCTTGCTGAGATAGTGGAAATAATAATAAATACTGAGGGAACTCAGAGACCAGTGATGGTGCAGGTCCTCCATATGCTGAGCGCAGGTCCCCTGGGTCCCCTGTTCTTTCTCTATACTTTGTCTCTGTGTCTTATTTCTTTTCTCAGTCTCTCATCCTACCTGAGGAGAAATACCCACAGGTGTGGAGGCCTGGCCCCCTTCAAAAGATGATACAGAAGGTACTTCCCACTCCACCCCTGCGTTCCCTTCATCGCACAAGCCATCCACACCATGGCCCAGTGCCCAGGTGGGAGAACTCCAACATCCCGGGGAACAGTTGGAGCGCAAACCTGGGCCATTCTGGCCAGCTCCCAATTTTGGCTGTCATTCCGGCAAACACATGGGAGTGGGATGGACTGAGGCTGGCTGGGATGTGCCCTGCACACCGGCCTCCTCTTTTCCTGACTTCCATGTTTCTGGTGGGCCTAGGGTTTCCTGGGTCTGGCTCAAAGACTTCCACAGTCAACGTTTCGCTGTTCACGGAGGACGACCCTCACGGGGACCATTGTATGACTGTTTTCTCCTAAACACTGTTACGTTTTAAGGACTAGGCAGCTGTGATACTTTTGGAACAGTAAATTCCCGTTATATCCACCAACAATGAAACTCTTGTTCTCCCACTTCTATAGGAGTACAGTATGATTCCTATATGATGAGACCTAGGCAGCCAAGTCTGGTTTTTGCCTGGTAATCTAGGCTCTCTTTCGTTTCATCTGCATGTCTTTTCTCATTGTGGAGTTGGTTCTTCTTGGGCTGGGTGTGACTGCCTCTCGACACAGATCTTTTGCTTGCCAGGGATTTTAGTGAGCTCAAGGGATTTTCGGTAGTTTGACTGCCCTCCAGGTTGTGGGTGGTGGTCTCATTTTGCGGGCTGGGGTTTTTTGCACTTTACACGAGTCTCTTGGGTCCTCTGGCAAGAATCCGTGAACTTGGGTTTGACTCCAGCATAAACCCTCTCATTCTCCCATTTGAGCCTTTATTTCCCTTTGCTTTCATGGGGAATCCACAGTGCCCCTCAACAGCACTCCTGGGCACCCTTTTCAGGCTTGCAATCACACCAGACGGTTTATGAAACACTCTCTCAACCCTATGTGCCCTTGTTGGATGCCAGTTCCAGGTGTGAGACCTCTTCTCCACCTTGGACTTGCCTTTATTGTCGTTTCTCCCTAACCCAGACAGCCGTACTGAGAAGCAGGAGCCCCTGGGAGGCCCTGGATGAAGGGAGACAGTGAGTTCAAGGGCCCCGCAATCTTCCGCTGACACTCTCCTCTGGGGTCTCAGGTGTGATTCCATCACCCGGAGATCCCTCAACAACTCACCAGACTGTATTCCCTTCTTCCTGGGACCGGATTCTTGCACACAGACTCTTTCGGGAATGGAGTCCAAAGAGCTGTTCCCAGAGCCCACTGGAATCGCCTCTTCCTCCTGCGGGACCCGACTAATGAGACGGCCCAAGGATGCCGTATGGTCGTTACTTTTAGGCTTCCACAGTCATTGTCGCAGGCAGCATTTTCCCGAGACTAGGCCGACTTTGCCTGTCCCATTTTCCTCTGCTCAGGCAGGCTGACAGCCCTGACAGCCTGGTCCCGGCGCCTGCCTCGCGGATGCGCATGCGCCAGTCGCGGGACACCTGTCGCGAGCGGTGAGCCTTACCTCGTGTCTCAGTGTATGCCACCTTTGCCTGGTGACAAGTTTCGCCCGCTTCGTGGACCAGGGGACCTTTGTGGACATGTGTTGGCATTGGACTCTCGCCTGTCTTCTCTGGGGGATCCACGGGATAGTCCCACTACCCCAAGATAAGGCAGGGATGAGCCAGCGTTAGGAATCGTCAACAGAGACCCAATGCTTCCCCAAGCTCTCTCTGTAGTCCTGGTTTTGTCTCCTCCAAGGTGCTGGGACCTTAAGCAAGTCACTGCCTCTCCTGCAGGTCTTCGGTTAGGACAGAGATAAATGGATCAGGGAGAAAACAGAAAAGGTTCTTCTAGCCCTCCTCTCTTCTGCCCCTTCACTGTCTGCCTGGTAAAATGGTATCTCTTGGTCACATTTGCTACTCATTAAGTCACCTGTCCTGTGGGAAAGTCCTCACGTTGGTGATACCAGGTCCCACTCTCTACCCTTTAGGAATTGCAGAGTCTCATGAATCTGTGTGTGTTCATCCCAGGGTCACTTCGCACCTACACCTCCAGACCTCTAGGTTGCCCTGGGTTAATACTGAGACTAGAGGGAGAAGCAATTACAGGAGAGAAGGAGAGGAAGTGAGGAGGCATAAGAAGGGTTCTGGGGTTTGGTGATAGGGGAGAGATAGGGTCACAAAAGGTTTACTGGATATGAGAAGCCCGCCCACGGAAAAGCTTCTAAAGATGGATAAGGTGGTGCTGGGGCCACAGTGCCGTTGACCAAAGCAGACATCAACTGGGAGGGAATGGAGGAGATGAGAAAGCTAGAAGGAAAGGGAAGGCCCAGATCAGATCTTGATGCGCTCTTCTTCCTAGACTGGCATGGTTTCCATTACTCAAATTCTCACAGAACTGCGATCTTGGTTTAAATAAATCACTCTGGCTTGCCGCTGAGGTCAGAAAAGACTGCAGGGGCCTTGGGCAGAAGCAGGGAGACTGAGACCAGAAAGGTAGCTACTGTGACAATTATGCAGGCTTAGGTGGGAGAAACCACACTGACGCTGACTAGGTTCTCTGGATTTCCACCTCTGCAAGGCAGCTTCCTTCCTCACCTATTCAATGAGGACACAGTCGTCTGTTGCAGAGCAGCTTTCAGGAAGAAACAAGGTTCACAGGCCCAGCTCAGCACACAGTAGGCTCTGATGGGGCCTCCCCTACTCAGTTGAATGAGCCTGGGGCATTTGATGAACTGTTGCTTGCTGTGTGACCCCTGGGAGGTTACTTCACCTTACTGAGCCGGTTTTCTCATTAAAGTGGCGTGGGGTAGACATGTCAGTATGCAGAATGGAGCTGGACCGAATGTAGGCATTTCTGCTGCATCTGGAAAGTAAGATAAGTGAGCTCACTGTCACAAAAGGCACAGAAGAAGAAACTGAATTTGCACTTGGTGGAGAAAATGTAACTCTACTAATATAACCTGACAATTGCTACATGTTTACTGGGCACCTGGTGCAGAGCTAAGAAATCTTCCATTATAATCTGATGCAGTGGTACTGAGCCTGCAAAGTCAATGTGCACTCACCAACTCAGCCACTGTCATCTCATGTAACCCTCACACATCAGCTGTCTGAGGTAATCCCCAATCTCCACAGTACAGTTGAAGAGACTGAGGCCAAGATGGTGAAGGATCTTAACCAAAGTACAGTGGAGTCCTTAATGCAAAAGGAACTCACACCTGGGCACACCTGCATAAGGTGACATATGATACTTTTTACTTTCCGTCAAAACAGTAATTTCTGCTCATTGTGGTACAAGGAGGAAACCACAGAAGAGAATGAAAACGGAAAACACACATCATCACCAATGTTGCCTCCCAGAGATGAGCATGGTCCCCATGTGGAAGTCTCCTGTCCATTTCTTCCTTGGCCTGCACACATTATGATAGTGGCAGCAGATGGGTGCTGGGCACTTACCAGGCTGGCCATGACACCAAGAACTTTACAGATGTGCCTTTACTTATTCCTCGCAAAAGTGTTATGTCCCAAGGACACTGGGGCCCTTAGGGAGATACTTTTCCGTGGGTGGTACTGGATTTGGACTAAGGTCTCATCTGGGTCAAATCCCTGTGTGTGTGCAAAGCTAGGTCTATCATTATTTTCTGATGTATGAAGTGGAGGCCATGCTGTGAATGTGTGCACCTGTAAGCCTTTGACACAGGCAGCTTTCTCTAAAATGCACAGCCTGCCTTACTGACTTAATTCCTCCCACACCTCAGACCAGCCCCTGCAATTGCCCTTTGCATGTTCTCACCTGGCCTCATGATCATCTCCTTCCATGTGGGTCTCCCTTCTTCCATGTGGCCCTGTATAGCCCTCCATTGTGCAGTGTTTTTTGTTGTTGTTTGTTTGTTTTTGAGATGGAGTCTAGCTCTGTTGCACAGGCTGGAGTGCAGTGGTGCGATCTCGGCTCACTGCAACCTCTGCCTCCTGGGTTCAAGTGATTCTCCTTCCAAGTAGCTGGGGTTACAGGCGCCCACCACTACATCCAGCTAATCTTTTTGTATTTTCAGTAAAGACAAGGTTTCACTATGTTGGCCAGGCTGGTCTTGAACTCCTAACCTCGTGATCCATCCGCCTCGGCCTCCGGAAGTGCTGGGATTACAAGCATGAGCCGCCGTGCCCGGTCTTCTTCTTCTTCTTCTTTTTTTTTTTTTCTTAATAGTTCAGGGCTCTGACTCTCAGCAGGGTGTCCTGCCCCAGGGTTCCCCTTGACCCATTTCAGAGGGGTGGTTGGGTGGGTCACTGGTTCCTCACCCTGTGCCACTCCAGAACTTGCATCCTGATGGGGGAAGCAGGAAGCACTACCTGCCATGAGGGCATAACCCCAGCCCCAGGGCAGGCAGAAAATTCCCCCACCCCTGTTAAGTTCCAGCCCCAATGCTGGTACTCAGGCAGGACCTGCCCGAGTGGGACCTATCTCCACCTTCCTCACACACCTCCCTGACGCTCACTCAAACTCCAGTCACCTGGGAACCTCTGCCAGACCTGTGCTTCCACCTGGGGAGCCCCTAGGGCCCTCATTTCACCCCATTCCCTGAAGCCTGGCAGCTGCTGCTACCCCACCCTCCAGCCAGAGGAGGGCGCTCCCTCCTCAGCTGTCCCTGTCACTATGGGGGTCCTTCCTCCCGTGAGCTCTGTGTCCTCGCACAGGCTGCTCAACACCTCTGAGCTCAAATCCCTGCCCCCATGGGGAAGCGTGTTCTGAAGATGAGAGGGGGAGAGGGCGAGCTGTAAGGGAAGCAGGTGACACGGGGCTGGACAGGGAACGGAACGGCCTGGCTCTCAAGGAAGGGAACTTCTCCAGATGGCTTCCTCCTCTGTCAAATGGGCCCATGAATACCCTATTGATGGTGAGAATTAAGAGATACGAAACCCATTCTTTCTTCATTATGATGATTTTTAGTTTCACAGTAGCACTTAGCACCTGCCCGCCCTCCTTCACCACCCAGCAGGAGCGGGGCGGCCTGGATCTGTTTTCTGCCCCTGACCAGGGGGCCGCGTCTTCAGCAAAGTCTGCGGAGAGAAAGGTGCCGCTCCTGGAGGACAGCGGGATGGGACAGTCCCCTTCACACCCAGCCCCGCAGAGCGGGATAGAAACGTTGCCGCTGTCGACTCCATGCTGCCGGGAAGGGCACTGTGGGGGCCACTTTCTGAAAAGAAGAAACCGTCTGAACACAAAGTGGCTCAAGCAATGTTCATCTATCTGCCAGGGAAACGGAGGTCCTGAGTGCCAGAGCCCAAGTCACCCAGCAAGAGAAAACTCGGGTGGAGCTCAGGGTGTCCAGCCCCCGTCCACCCAGCCGCCGCGGTCAAGGTTAATAAGGGCAAGGGGCCAAGCAGAACCGCCTACAAGGAACCGAGTGCCCACAAAGCGGGGAGCGAAGAACGTTTCTTGTATCTGGAGCGCAGCCCTTTTGCGGAAGGCACAGTCCGGGCTCCAGGAGCCAGGCAGGGATCCGGGCCTTGTTGCGGAGGGGACGCCCGGGCTGAGCTCACCTGCTGGAGGCGGCAGCCCCTGGAGTCATGGGGTCGCCGGCTTGTGGTGAGGGGCTGGCACTGTTCCTTGGCCCAGCTCCCCTCCCGCAAAGGGCCAGGAGGTCTGGCTCCCGGCGGTGTCCAGGCTCTCGCCCGCCGGTGCCTGAGCCGCACCCACCGCGTCCCCTCCGCTCCCACACCTGGTGCGGAGGGTCCGGACCCGGGGTCATCTGGCAGGGCCCTGCAGCTCCCATGGGCGCCTAGCAGCGCGGAGCCCCTTCTCACTCCTGCTCGGGTGGCCTCTCCTCTCCGGGGGCTGCGTCCTCGCTGGACGCCAGGTTCCCGGATTCTTCTAGGTCGCCCTGGCTCCTGGCAGGTCCTGATGCCACGCAGTCCTCCATGGGCTCCTCTGACCTGAGAGGGACAGTGCGATGGGGCTGGCGGGGATGGGGGTCCCCGCGCTGTGGAAAAGCAGCGGGGCTGCTGCTGACCGAAGCCGCCTGGGTTTGTTCGGGAACCGTCCCCCTGGGGCCCCTCCGCCCGGCAAACGCTCCAGGTGCGGTTTGGGAGTGAAGCCGGACACCGAACACCATCCACGCTCAGCTCCACGGGGCTCCAGGAGTCCTGAGCCCAAGCCCCCACATTTGCATTTTATTTAAAAAACCTGAGGGTTAAAGTCGGGCAAGTCAGTTGCCTCCGTGTTTGTCTCCCGCTGCCTTGATGTCAGCTTCTTTTGCTGGCAGTCAGAGACCAATCCCCCAGGCCCTCCAGGACCCCCTATCTGGTGAGGACATCCTCTGCAATCATGAGCAGCCCTGAGGTGCTTCAGACCCGGGTCACTGCCCCAACTGGTGAGAGGCCCCGCTCTGGGGACTGGAGATGTGCGACGCAGTCTCCCAGAGCCTCCATCCTCTTGCCCAAGGAGGCTGCGCACCCTCACTCAGGGCTGTGAGGGGGATGAGGGCAGCTCACAGGCTAAGGGGCTGCTGAAGGCAGCTTTTGTGGACAGGTGATTTATGAGCCTGGAGGAAGCAGGTTAGGGGGGTGTGTGTGTGTGTGTGTGTGTGTGTGTGTGTGAGAGAGAGAGAGAGAGAGAGAGAGAGAGAGAGAAATTCTCCCATGCGAGGATATCTGCCTGTCTCAGTAGAGTAGGAGTGAACAGCAGCATCCCTGCAGAGGAGCAGCATGTGGACAGAGTCACAGGTTCAATCACAACATATCCTTGTGAGTCAAGGAGAGCAGGTTCCCTGGTCACCTGTGGTCTGGGTTTTGTGTTTGCCTTTTACTGCTGTTCCAATAAGCCAGGGCACTGGGGCCAGATTGCCCTCAGCCATGGCCAACGGTTCCCTGACAAGCTGGGGAGGACCAACTCCCTTCCCATCATAGGGACACAGGAGATCAGAGCAGCCTGCCCAGTGTGGATCTGAACTCAGAGAGAGGAAGCCACTGTCTCAGAGTCACAGAGCAGGTCAGTGGCAGGGCCCATGTCCCTGACCCCCAAGCTCTATTTCTCTGAGGAAATATTCCACCCAAAAGCATGAGAGTTCTCTGAGCGTGGACTCCCTGGCAGGTGAGGGTCATTTTACCCATTATCTCTTTTCAACCACATTGTGTATGTGGTTTGTATCAGTGTCCCCATTGTAAGGCAGAAAACAGCCTCAGTGATGGGGCAAAGGCTGGTGCAAGACTACAGAACTCAGAAGTGGCTGAGCTGAGACAAGAACCAGCAGGCTTCCTTCACCATTGCTCTGCTGCATCTGGAGGTTGGACAATTTACCTGTGTGCCAACAGCCACGAGCCTTTGTTGGCTCAGGGTAGATATGAAAAGCTGGAAACCATGAAGCTTTCAGCCCCACTCATTTCTGCAGGGGCAGGTAGCTGTGCTTGGCATGGGCTCCCCCTTGCTCAAAATAGAGCCTCCTGTTCCTTCCGGTCATCCCAGAAATGAGTCACAGGTGGGTGAGGTTGCATCCGGGCCTGGGCAGGATGATGTCTTCTGAGCTAGGCTGAAAACTCAAGCCTTGCAGCTGGGCAAGTTATGACTTCGGTTCTGCCTCAGCCACTCCCAGGCTGGACAACTCTGGCCATCTCTCTCTGTAAGCTGCAGTTTCCTTATCTTTAAAATGGAGACAATGGCACCTCTCTCCCAGAGTAGCCACTGGGGTTTAATAAGGCCTCGGCATGAGAAGATGGCTTGGGTATTCTCTGGCATTACCCAATGGCTGTATTGGTGAGTTTTCCTTGGTCTATGGTGACCTTCCTGAGGGTAAGGACCAAGTATGACTTGGCTCAGGACCCAGACAGGCACAGCACAGCCAGAACCAGAGGGGCCTAGGCCTGGGTGTAAATTGGAATACAGGCATCTGGCCCAGTTTTTCTGACTCTGTCTCCTTCCCAACCTTTTCCAAACTGGCCCAAGGATCAGATTTGCCATGCTGCCCAGGCATGGTGGTCCTGTCTGAACAAGCAGCCTCAGAATTTCTCTGGTGCCAGCTGGACAACTCAGAGGGAAAAAACTTGTCACCAATTTCTGCTTCAAGTGAATGGGGAAGAAAGCTACCACGTGCAGCTACTTATTATGTGTCACCAGTCAGACACTTTTCCTATTTAGTGGTCACCTCAGCTAAGTCATAAAGACACAGAAAGGAGTGCCTTGTCCCAGGTTCACAGCTGATAAGTGGGGTGTGGGAGAGGAGGTGCTGAAATCCACATTTATCTAAACCTTTCAGACCCATGTGCATTTCTCCATTTTTGCTACATTGTCCCCTCCTCAGTGACAGCCTGGGCTGCTACTCCTGCCTCTCACTTGCCTCTCTGCCTCCAAGCTGCCTGCACCTTAGGAAGCTCCATGTTGCGCTGTCAAACCAGCACCCCAATCTGTCCCTCACCTGCTTGTGCCTTTCGATGACTCTCATTGTCCTCAGAAAATGACCCTGGCTCCTAGGTGTCCACACCTTTGTGGCCCTGAGCATGCTGACAGAAATAAAACTGCATGCCTCCTTTCCTTCCAGTGAAAAGAAATAACTGGATATTGCAACAACGTTTAAATGTATGAATCATTTAGGAGAAATCAGAGTATCCTTTTTCATAGATAAAAAACAGTATTCAAACCTAAAAAGAAAGAAAACAATTCTCCTAAATGCTGCCACACTTGGAGAAACAATGGAAAACAAGCACTGGAATCAGCTAGGCCTACCGGAGTTGCTGAGGGAGAATTAAATGAGTTATTATGTAACTTTCTTAGCAACCGTGCTTGGCTCATAGTTAGTGCTCAGTAATATCAGCTAGTCTTGTTTTTATGGTAAATAGAAGAGAAGCTAGGAATGAATCCATGACCTTGGATGGGCATCCTGTCTGCCTTCCCCAGGACAGGGGTTCAGTGTCATTTTCCAGGAACCTAATGAAGCAGCCTTGTTCTTCTGGGGTGATACCTGAGATTTGTTGTCTAATGGCCATAAAAAACTAGGATATGGACACACAAGAGTGAGGTTAAGAGCAGAAGTCTAATAGGTGGAAGAAAGAGACAAGCTCCCTCCGCTGCAGAGAGAGAGGTCCCAAATGGGCTGCAGGATCCACAGTGAAATGCAGGGGATTTTATAGATGCCTGATGAGGGGGGCGGTGTTTGATTTACATAGGGCATGAAAGATTGGTTGGACCAGGTATGTCATTTGCATGGAGCATGAAAAATTGGTTAGAGATATGTCATTTGCATGGATAATGGAAAATTTGCATAGGGTGAAAATTTGTGTCCACTCCCACCCTAATCTTATATTATGTAAGCAGGTCTTCTTCCTGAGCTGCACCATATTGCCTATTTCTTTACTGTACATGTAGTAACAACAACAACAACAAAAATGGAACCTCCATGTTGGACATGCCTGGCTCACAGCCCTTTTCTATTGGCACAGCTGCCAGCATTCACCCTTCCAAGCTTTCAGCTTGCTTATCTATGTTTGCAGCTCCATTTTTCAGGCCGATCTTTGCTAGTAAGAAAAAAATTTATTTGGCTCTCTTGCTAAAGGGAAGCTCTACCAAGTATTCTTTTATGCTCACTATCCATCAAATAATTTTATTCTACTTCCTGTATCATTAAGACTCATCATCACTCAGAGACAATCAAACACTGTGACATTTTGATATAACCCTTTCCTAAAGTGTATATTTTTCACAACTTCGAGCATGCATGGCATACCATTTTTTCACTGAACACAGTCTATCATGAACATCTTTCCATAACTTAAAAGAAGCTGTGTACCAGAACAGTCCATCATGTTCTGTTTTCTTTCAGTAAATAGAAATCTTTAGAGATGGATCATTTTCCTTACAAGTAGATACCAAGTAAGAGGAGCAGCCTCTAAAGCAGAGAATAGCAGCTCATGCATGCTAATTATTGCTAACTTATCTGGCTCCCCTATTGATGGCATCTTGAGGGCAGTTATGAACATGTCATGCAGTCTCCAAGCAACACACAGTAGGCCCACCATAAATAGATTTTCTGACCAGCATGGGAGGTACAATGGTGAGTTGCTCTGTTTCCTCCCTCCTGTTCCCTTCCCCTCCCCTCCCTTCCCCTCCCCTCCCCTCCTTTCCCCTCCCCTCCCCTCCCCTTCCCTTCCTCTCTCAGGAATCTTAGTCACAGAGAGAAAGGACAGCAGGGAACATGGTGAGGTGCTGACAATTCTGGTCCACTGGATCTCACCGTCCCTAGGACAGTAAATACTGTCCTAGTCACCACCCAGCAAGTTACCACCACATCATTTCCTACATGTTCCCAAATGAATAAAGGTAATTAAGCATAAATGCAAGCATAAGTGCAAATAAAAAGTAATTTCTCATGTTTTTAATCTAAACTGTCACCGTTTAGTTTACTATTTCAAGTTCTTTTTGTGCTAAATCATTTGTTTTTATTTATTTATTCATTTATTTATTTATTTATTTGAGATGAAGCCTTGCTCTGTCGCTCAGGCTGGAGTGCAGTGGTACGATCTGGGCTCACTGCAACCACCGTCTCCCGGGTTCAATTAATTCTCCTGCCTCAGCCTCTAGAGTAGCTGAAACTACAGGTGTGTCCCACCACACCTGGCTACTTTTTGTATTTTTAGAAGAGACAGGGTTTCACTGTATTTGCCAGGCTGGTCTCACACTTCTGCCCTCAAGTGGTGTACCAGTCTCAGCCTCCCAAAGTGCCAGGATTACGGGCATGAGATTCCATGTCCGGCCAATCATTTGTTTTTTTAAAGTGGCAGCCATAGTTCCTGTCCATCTGGATATATTTTGAACTTTTGTATGTAAAATATAACACTAAAAAACTTTATTATGTTTTAGGTAATCTAAGATTGGTGTATACAAACAAACATTACAGATTACTGTAGGGTTCAGAAAATGATGTATATATTATGACATTTATATCTCTAGTTTTTGATGTATAAATCTTCCTTTAGAAAAGATTGACTTCTTTAAAAAATTTCTCCACAAATTTAGGCTTATTTTATAAAATGGCACAACATTAAAAAAATAAAAATACTTTTTACTTTTCTAAAAAAGTAAAATACTCTTTTATCATTTCACAAAATAAGCCTGAATTTGTCATACTATATAAATACTGGTACTCAAATAAAATACCAAATATTTTAATCAAAATTGTTTAGACAGTATGTTTATATAATTTTATGATTTTTAACTACAGTGATAGACATTCACAAATCTTCCATAAATCAAATATATTAGTATTAGGTTTTACATAGTAGTTATATATGAAAGATCGGGCCGGGCACAGTGGCTCATGCTTGTAATCCCAGCACTTTGGGAGGCTTAGACGAATGGATCACGAGGTCAGGAGTTCAAGACCAGCCTGGCCAACATAGTGAAACTCTGTCTCTGCTAAAAATACAAAA